AAGTTGATGAGAAATGGTATTTGAATGAATTAGGATGACCTGAATGAAAAGTTCGTGGAAATTCTTGATAGAGAGTCATTCTTGAGTAAAAGACTTGACTAAAAATCTTGAGTTGAGAATTTATTAATATATTAAGGAGATGGAGTTAGAAAATATCCTTAAATTCTTGATCGAGCTTGAGAGATCTTGAAGGTTTAAATAAAGATAGTCTTGAGTGAAAGCATTAAAATGAGGTAGTAGAAAGAATGGCTTATTAAGTAAGGTAAATGAACAAAGAATAATGATTTCAAGTTCCTTTAAGATTATCGATGTTTGCGGAGATATAATTTATTATATTATGAAGATTATTTCTGAGAATATTACTTTTTAATAACTGTTGAAACCATAACTGAGAAGTTAAATTTTATGCTTTAAGGTGATAATCTTTAGTAATGTTGCAGTGAAAGAGATAATGATCTATTGTGCCTTCATTACCACAGGTACAGAGATTTGTATGCTGAAGTCCGAATCTATGAAGGTATTCTGGAAATGGACCATGAGCTGTTAGGAAAAATGTAATTGAACGGTTGGTAGATATTAATGATCTTGAAGGTTTTGATATGAAAGTAAAAGTTCTTCTGCCGGTAGTTGCTTCCGTCCAGGTTTGCTTCCATAAGTGCATTAATTCTGTTTCTAATTTTGTTTTTAGTAATGATATTGGATATGGAATTGAGTAATTTGGAAGGGAAGAATTGTTTGCAGCCCCTTTTGCTAGTTCGTCTGCGAGCTCGTTACCACTATTACCGATGTGTGCTTTAATCCATTTGAAATGTGGTCTATTATTGTTTTGAAATTGAGAAAGTAGAAAATGGATTTCTTGTACAATAGTAGGCGATCGACTGTGTCCAATTATAGCTTGAATACTAGATGCACTATCAGAGAGAATTAAGGATGGTAAAGAAAGTTCTTTTGCGAAGCATATGGCTTCTTTGATTGCAAAAAGTTCTGCTTGAAAAACTGAGTTGTTATTGTTTAAACGAATATTCCAGTTTTTAATATTTGAATTTTTTCGGAATGCGCAATATGCACTACCAACGCCTGCTTCAGATTTCGAACCATCAGTATATATGGTGAGTTCATATTTATTGAGTTCAAAGGTTCCCAATAGGGATTTTGTGTAAAAATATGTAGGATGTAGCTCTAAGTTGTGTTTAAGATATTCAAAATCTGTGGGTTGAAATACATTATTATTCATTATGCTTTGAATTCTTAGTTTTGATATTCTTACTTTATTTGCTTCTTTTATTAGAGATAAAGTAATTGGAGGGATGCCTGTTATTATTTGTAGCGCACTAGTTGGAGTAGTTCTATATGCTTTTGCTAGAGAGAGGAGGAAAGGTCTTTGGATTGAAAGTAAATGTTTTTGAGCCTGAGAATTCAAGGTTAAACCCCAGACGGAAGCACCATATAGTAGTATTTTTTCAATAACTGTTATGTACCAAATTTTTTCTAATTTTGAGGATATACCCCAAGTGCTGGCTGTTACAGATCGAAGAGAATTGTGAAGGGTTAAAGTTTTGTTTTTGAGATATTGAATATGGAAATGCCAGGATTGCCGAGTATCTAATACTATTCCCAGATATGTGATGCTCTTGTCAATTTTGATTTTTTCTTGAGAAATTTTGATTATTGGCTTTCTTAGGTTTTTTTATGGAAGTACCTCTTTTTGGAATATATAGTGCTTTACATTTCGTAGTAGAAATTTTAAGATGAAATTTATCTGTCCAGTTGCGGAAGATATTTAAAGAAAAGGTGGAGTTAATTTCTATTGATTTCCGGCTACTTGCGTTCACAATGAGAAGAAAATCATCTGCGTATGCTTGGATATGGGTATGATTAATATTGTCGTATAGTTTTAAAACTTCGTTTGCTATAAGATTCCAAAACGTAGGGCTTAAGCAAGATCCTTGAGGACAACCTTTTGTTAATTTATAATTTATTACACCGGAATCTGAAGAATATTGTAGAGTTCTATTGCATAGGTAGTCTTTGATAATATGAAGGATATCCTGAGGGCATGATATTATTTCTAGAATTGTTATGATGTCTTTCCAGCCAATAGAATCGAAGGCTGCTTGAATATCTATCGAAATTATTATTGAATGAAGAGTCTTTGATTCATTCATCTTTAAGACTTCTTGCATTTTTTGAAAAGCATGATCTATTGATTTATTTGGTGTGAATCCATACTGATTTTCATGCTAATACTTTACCGCTAATAATACTTTACCGGTAATGAATTATATAAATAATACTTTACCGCTAATGAAGTTTCCCTAAATTTCGTAACCTGGGGACCATTTTGAAATAGAGCAGGCATCCGTCAGACGTCCACGAAAATGACCCATTTTAAAACGCTCGAGATTCCATGCTTTAAGGCACACTACAAAATGCCGGGTGACATTCATCATCAGGATACCCAGGACTTATTTTTATGGTTCCAACGAAATTTCGGATCATCTAGTTTAAAATGCACAGCAGTAATTTTGGCAAATACTTATGCATATATATTTAACTTTTTTTAAATAAAAAGAAGGACTATCTTCATGCGCAGCCTACGGAATTAATACGGAAGAATAACGGAATTTTCGCAAATGATTTACTTCGTGAATTGATTAATTGAGTTACTCAGTTAATTCAGTAATTATGTGATATTAATATTTTATAGAAATGTATTCTTTAGCAGGTAATAAATTAAGAACAATTGCGCAACTAAACAATTTATCTCGCGACAGTTAAGGGGTAATAAACAAGTGTCATTAGATTTACAGAACATGTAGAGTACTTTTACAACCACAAGTAACTTACTATCTATAGCAATAATAATGGAGAAACATAAATTTATTGGAAAAGTTATTTGCTATATAATACTTATGTTTCACAGAGAACAATATAAGGCATATACACTCATGTCCATAAGTTAACCGTTTCCGGTACGCTACCTTTCAAAGTTGGAATTTCGACTAAAAAAGAAGGTAGGCATTATAATCAGGCCTAGAGGAGTACACAGGTAAAATTTTGTGCAGTTAGCACTTATCGTTTTAATTCTGTGGGTGTGCCTGAAGCGGATACACTGAATGAATAGAGCTTCGAAAACAGTGTTGAAACGAGCATTGCTGGGAAGCGCGTGAAAGAGTAAGAGATTTTGCCTACGATTAAAAAACACAAGATTCTGAATACCGTAACAGATTTAGCATAACCCAGGGTTTAAATTTATCATTCGGCATTGTAACTCGGGGACAACATATATTGTAACGTCTACTGACATTCCCGCCATTTTGGAGTCGTTGTCAAATCCTAGAGATGACACTTTGGGCTAAGTTCCTTGGATACGTTCATCGTCCACATTCCAGCCAGCCGATAATTATATCACGCAAAAAGTTATCCCACTTGCGTCCTCTCTGTCATAACTGTTCGACTTTGGCATTGAGCGCTTACAGAAAGCTTGTGAACAGTTTTACCTCTCTGCTACTATTCTTTTATATACTTCTCTTATGTTCTCGTCATTGTGACGTACTATCGGCGTCATCTGATTGCTTCCCGTAATTTGCATATTATTTTTGAAGATGTGTGCGATAATTCTGCAAGGGAAATTTTTAATTTAGAGTTCGATTTCCGTGTGATTCTGAATTATACTTAATTTATGAACATGAGTGTAGATAGGAAGCTGAAAACGTGGCCTTGGCTGGCATTCTGCGAAAACACTTGGAGTTGTCTGCCGACTAACCGGTATAGTGGTTAGAGTCCCTGGCTGCCGTGCCGAAGGGCCTTGGTTCGAACGACGAAGAAGGCATGGATTTTTGTAAATGTATACTGTTCGTGCGGCATGGGTGAACTCTAAATATGCGGCCGAATATCCTCTCGACAGGTTGCTGGTAGAGAACGAGGGGGATGGGAGACCCCCGGACCCTTCCCGCCGGTGTGCTCTCTATTAAAAATTGGAGGCGGAACTGAGCTAAATCGTACTGTCACCTGTGAAGTTCTGAAGGCTGTTGCAACGACAAGCCTAAATATGTGCGCCTTGCCACGAGGATTTTCGCTGTCAGAGAAGTGAGTATTTGCAAAAACAATAATTTGGAATTGTCTAGAAATAGTGTTAATTACATGCCGCGAAGTAAGGGGGGTCACAAGAAAGTTCGTTCCTTACCGGAGAAAATGAATTTACTTCACCGGAAAAAAGAGAAAGAGGGGAAGTCCCCTTGTCATCGAGTGATCCTGTCGTCAGTTGTTTTTGACGACAGCACTTTGCTTCACATTCGCAAAAATAAACGAAAAATCGTCGCCTTTATTTCTTCCCACAAATCTTCACTGTGAAGATTCGCGCCGATTTGCAAGGATGGAAAATGCGTTCCATAATTTATGAATTTTACATGCACAGTGAATATTTCATTTTTTACTTTAAAAAGTAAGATTACTAAAAGTAACGGAAACATATTTTTTACAGATAATATTCGATTTAAAGTTAAAAAAAAAAGCCGTTAACAAGTTTTCTTCCGTTTTGAATGACGATCCTCCTGCTTGTAGCTGCCAATATTGCTATCTTATATACAAGAATTATTTTCGTACATTTTTCTAAAATAAATTTCTTTCTTCTTTTTTTAATAATGCATATAGATTTTAGTGCTAAAATCCGAAAGAATTAGAATAATTACTTATTAGAATATAATTATTATAATTAATCAAATTTATTATGATAATGATTGTATCCTATGATTATTAAAACTAATTATTAAGTTTAGTTATGATTATTAAAACTAATTATTAGCTAGTTTTGTTTCATGTGTATTAATGCATTTTTTTAGCACACATTTTTATTTAGCTTAAAATATAAAAGACATATATAATAATTAATTCGAGTATGATTATATAGTAATTATTATATTAGAATTCATCTTAATGATACTACAGTAAGAAAAATGTACAATAAAGTATAATAATTAAATAATTTTAATAATCGTTGTTATTGTTGTTGTCATGTGTCTCTGATAAAGCCTACTCAGAAAGAAATGACATGGACGGAGATGACAACCCTGGCAATCTGAAAAATATAATAATAGTTATGTAATCTAATTAAGTTTTAAAAACAGTCGAATTTTTACCAATATATTAATTAATAAATAACTCATCTCTTGAACTCCTTCTTTTAATAGGTAAATAAATGCACAAACTAAACATACTATAACCAAACAGTTAATTATAATTTATGATCAAAGTATTATCTTAGATTATTTAAAAGTATTTTTCTGCCTCTTTAAATCTGTGCTCTTTGCGTTGAATTCTATGAAAATTAACAGGGAAAAAATACGAATGGATAAAAAATCCTTACTACATGATTCGTGTCCATCCACCTTATTCCGTGAATAAATTAATCACAGTGGTGCATGCGTATTTGTGCTTATGGTCGCGGCTATCTCAATCAAATTAACAGGAGAAGAAATACATCAATGTAAAACATTTAGGCAAAAACATAACATTAGCTTAGTGTAGATATAAAAATTACTTGGCAAATTTCGAGGATAATTAGATAAATGTTCCTTTTCTGGAAACTACATCTTACAAAGGGAGAGAGACAAAAATGTTACATAGAAATCAATGTATTCAACAAACGAAATGACAGCCCAAAGCGACAAATGGCATGCATTTACTTTCACGTTCCTCCTCTCATCGGATTCCATATCAAATAGTTGTTTTGCTGCTAACCTTTATGACGGAATTAAACATTCCTTTTTATTTTGGTTGCCACATATTTTTTAAGCCAACATAAATAAATTGGCGTAATGAGTGCCAATTTTTGAAGAACTCCATCGGTACGGATAAAATTTTTAAATGCGTTTGAAATAGTAGATGTTAGCATGTTTAGAAGGAAAGAAGGGCAAAAATGTAGCATACCAAAATTATAGATCAGTACAGGCTGTTCCTTAACTCCATTTCTGATTGGCTGGCTGAGTTTCGATTTGAAAAATTATCTGTGTCATTACCGTTATGTAAGAAATATATGATACCGAATTAATTTTCAAATGTCTGAGGTTAGACTGGTTTATTGCAAACACTTATTATTTTTAGAATAGAAATGGGAAGTAGAGATTTGTATAGCTGAACACTCACATTATAGTTGAGATTTAAAGGACTAATGCAAATTAAAGTTAGAATTTATCTTACAAATACCTCCGATTCGCTCCGAGACGGGGAAGTTGTTAGCGACGCCGACTGCCGTACCAAACGGCCTGGTTTCAAATTCCAGAGTTGGCATGAATATAAGTTGTCCGTCCTTTCATAGAAGGTAGTGGTGGCTGACCTATTAAGTGCCTGTATAATAGACCTCCGCTTCCGCCTTTAGTAGTGGCCTACGCCTATAAACGGCTAGAAGCTGCCATTGGGGGAGGGACTTCCAAATCATCTCAGACCTTGTTCAATCGTAATATAAATATTCTTATTCTTTCTCCTTATCCAGAGTAAAAAAAAGAAACTTTCAAAAACTTAGCCGACACATTTGAAAATTTTATATGCAATGATTTGTTTGATGTAAATGATGTGATAAGGCCCGAACATGCAAATTTCTTCATGGCTTGTTCCAGTTTGGTCTCTCATATCTGCTATGACAGAAAATTTGGCTGCTTAGTCTAACAACTTATCTTCATTTTCTACTTCCGGAAATTATCTAGATTGCCAATATCCTCCAAACTTCGGAAAATAAAAATATATAATACTGTATTTATTCCTATATTTATATGCTGTGTATTCACCATGGTATTACAGATTACAGCACTGTATAAAACATCCTTTATATTTATTTAGTATGCTTTAGTTATTTTTCTTAAAGTTTTCAGAGAGCCCAAAGTTTTATCAAAACATTCCCATCTTCTATAGAGGTTAAATTATAATCAGTAAATGCTCATAATGCGTTAAAAACGAAGGCCTAATAAATCGAATGCAAGAAATCTGAGATAAAAATTATGTATTAAAGATTACGCAGAAAGGAAAGATTAATTAATACATTTAGTGCTAATTTGTGTAAAATTACATTTTCATTATTCAATTACTATTATATTGATATTCAGATTTACTACTATTACAGGCAGCTTCCTCTTACTCGGCATTAAAAAAAACAGCATTATAATCAGTAACCGATAAGCTATCGCCGAAGTGCGAACCAGTCACATTTTGTCTTTCTAATATATTTTGATTTTCGAAAGGTTTAAATAACGCAGTCACCTGCTGCAAAGCGTGCATATATAAAAGTATCTTAAAATTAACAAAACCTTTATTTAGATACTCAAATTATAAAGAAGTCATAAAACTGCACTTAGGTAACAACTTCCCAAATATTATTTACAAGGGCAATGGCACGTAAAGATTTCAAGAAATTCTAGTGATGAGTTTAAAATTATTATAAATAGAATGTTTGATGCGTCTTGGGGAAGAGAATCCGTTACGCAAATATTGCTGCTTAATAATACAACGTGTATACACAAGAAGAAAGTTTGTTGATACATGTGCATGTGTTTGCTTGTAGAAGATTAATGATACAGCTTTGTGATTTAATGCAAATATAATATTACTTTACCTGCTGGTACAACTTTGATCACACATGGCTCTTTTTGAATTCCAAGACTGTTGCGGGCCCAACACAGAAGATTTCCGAATCCTGAATTGCGAAGAATTTGCGGAGAATAGCTTATGACACTTCGCGTTCCATCATTACTCCAGTTCCTTAAGAGAGTCGTATCAAGAGAATTATTAATTGACCACCTGAAGACGACATTGCTAGGATCAGCTTCTACTTCACATGTCACGTTTACAGTCTCCCCCGTTGTGACGCCATAAAACTGTGGTTCCGTAAAACTGCAAACTGGAGTGACTGAAAACGTAAAGAAACATAGATTTTAAGATTATATTTCCTATGTACACATCATGAAACACTATAGGAAAGGTAGATGAACTATAAAATCATGCTATGTACCAGTTGAAAGGCATACACATACATACATGAATTCAAAACATTTAAAAAAATGTTTAAACTTTATGGTTTTTATGCTATAATTTTGCATTTTGAGGACCATTTACTTCAGCTTGTAGGGAGACTGATAACATAATAAAGCACAGATTGCTGATTAACACTGTTAAAGATCTATTTATTTTAATTTATTTTTATTACATATATATAATATACAGAAAAATAAATACCTAATATTAATTTGTAACAGCTCTTTAAATTGCAATTTTAGTTTGGTTGTTTAGATAGTTTTTATGCAGATTTGATTTATTATTGCCCATACAGTTATATTAGTTTTTTCTACTGTTATTTACTAATATTTGGCCTATGTGTATATGTACATTTCTATGAAGTTTGTCTATGGTTACTCGTATGCTTCTGCGGGTTTTTTTATCAACTAGTTCATATATTGATGTAGCCCATGGGTAGCGTACAGTTCTAAGGGTTTTTTGTCTACTGGTTTCTAAGGGGAGCCTACGTGTTTTTTCTACAGGTACATACTTGTAGGCCAAGTACGTGTAAAATATTTCCATTGATCTGTACAGAGCATTTTAGAAGGCTTTCTTCCAAAAAAAAGTTAACATGCTTATAATGAATCGTTCTGTATTGCTCATTTGGAAATTACGCTTTGTCAAATTGACGTATAAAACCACTTTTAGTCATTCAAATGTTAAAGTCTCGTCTTAAACCTTTAGTATAAAATAGAAATAAAGCAGAACCTTAACTTCAGTATCCTTAATCCAGAATTATACCTTTATTGAGGCCTTCCTTCTCAGCTTCTTTCTGACCTCTGCTTGTCTTTCATATTTTATAGATATAATAATAATATGAAAAGTACGAATGAAATTGTTTAAGAAGGGAAGTGTAGTTGAGCCAATTTAACTGAGATTATCAAAAACGTTTAGTAAGTATAAAGAAATGTTAAACAGGAAACTACTAATGCAACTAACTTTATTCACTGTATCCACCATCATGTTCTCTGCTACTGTAATAAAACAAACTGTTTATATATATATATGTTTGTTGAAATTGAGAGAAATTATTTACTTTTCAGACACTATTTATAAAAGATATTAATATTTCGTAAGCCTCTATTATCTCGCACATAGTCCAGCATTAAATTGAATCTTTCCTCGAGAAGTTAACTTTTCTTATACTGAAAATACATTTTTACAAACGTTTCTGACTACAGTTTCTTAAAAGAAAAAAGGCAAACTAAGTTAAGCATTAACTTTTAAATACATCCGTTATTTATATCTAAAGAGTTTGCGGATAGTAAACGCAGAGCGTTTCTAGTAAAATCGAATCACTTTTTTACTCTTTCTTATCTCGACAGTTTCTTTTCTCATTTTATAGAACCATGGGTCAATTTTTAATTTTCTCACAGTTTAAAAATATATTTCACATTTTTAGTTACCCTACTTCGTTTCTCTAGTGGCAGCTGACAATTAATTAGTTCAGGTTGACTGTTTATCGAAAAGGAAGCTTTTTTGTTCAAAATTAAATTTGAGTTTCTTAAAAAGAATTTTAAAGTAAATATTTTAAATATATATTCTATAAAACGTTTATTTCTGTGAAAAAGTTTATGTTTGATTTCATTAAAATGAAGACAACGTTTCACTAAAATATATTTAAAAAACTGTGTTCTTGAATTCGTGGAGTTTTTATAATTTGGCTCCCAAAGGTGAAAAAATATCTTATCGTTGAGTGAAAATTACAAAATCTGTTAATTTTGTTTTTCTGGACAAACGAAAACAAGATATATATAATTAAGACACAATAACACACCGAACAAATACTAATTCAGAAGTCAAGCAACAAAAATCAGCGTTATATTTTCAAAATTTTGACAGGACTAGTTTTGATGGTTTGTTTTACCAAACTTCCATCCTCAGCTGCAAAACCGCAAATGAACAAGATAAGAAATAATGATTACATCGAAACTAGTCCTGTAAAAATTTTGAAAATATAACTCTGATTTTTGTTGCTTGACTTCTGAATAAGATATATATACTTAGCTTCAAGAAATTTGAACTGTCATTTGACAATAACATTCAGTAATAACAAAACTGTCAGAAATATTTATTATACACATACATGCAAATAAAATGTCGTTCCATAGGAAATTATTTTTTATGCACTTACTATATTTTTTAAAACAATGCTTTGCTTTCATTAGAAAAAAATGAATATATATCTTCAATAAATTTTAAGAGAGTTTATTATAGGCTTTCCTTATTTTGCTCATAATAGTGAAAATAAAAATTTTAAAAAGCATGATTTTTCAAGATTCAAGGCACCATCAGACTTCAGTTTACAACAGGGGTTCTCAACCGGTGGTAAGCGTACCACTGGTCGTACGCAAGAGAAAAATAGGTGGTACGAAAAGAAGCAAAGCATTTTTAACTATTAGATTCAAAATTAAAACCCCAGCATCCTGATTGAGTTTTTTCTCTTAACACTCGTAAATTCTTGCGATCTGAGCTTTGTTCAAGAGTGGTAGTGGTAGTAGTACTTTGTATAGTGATAGTACTAAAGGTTTCCAATTTTTGTTTAGATGGTACGCGTTATTCGAAAGGTTGAGAACTGCTGGTTTACACTTTCGACGCACTTGGATGTTGGTATTACATACGAAATCTTACAGATAAGCAGAATTAAGCAGAACAGATATAAGCAGAATTGCAGATAAAAATTTGAAAATATTCGTGAAAAGGTAGACTTGTAATATAAATTGAATCTGTAAGGATATCTGAGAGATACTGAGGAAAATAATAACGCATAGTGGAGACATACTAATATATAATACGGAGTTAATTAATTACACTTAACAGTAAAGTATTTATCGATAGTTATTACAAACTTTAAGCACTTAAGGTTAATTAATGCTTGGCTTATTAGTAGATTTTAATAAATGATCAAACTCGTACTAATCGACTCGTATAAAAGATCGTTATACAGTTATAATGTATTTGCGATGAAAATGGCTAACATTTGAGTAACTAAAGCTTATCAATCATTTACGCTTTCCTAACAGATAGCAAGAACACTACTATACATTAAGAAGAACTTTGATGCCTATTAAGCGCTGCATTTTCTGAAAAAAGAATTTTCCAGAAAGCATTTTTGGATCTAGGTAGATATATAGAAGCTTAAATACTGATACAGAAGATACAGAACGTAGATATAGAAGGTTGAATACTGATATGGAAGATACAGAACGTAGTTATAGAAGCTTGAATACTGATATGGAAGATACAGAACTTTATAATATAATTATAGAAGCTTGAATATAGATTTACATTCCGTTTAAGATATAGCCTAATTTTGTATATAAATAACATTAACTAGTGTGCCCTACTTTAGAAGATTGTAATACTGCATAAAAGTAAATTAATTGTTCTGTATGTACCAACATCGACGAACCCTTAACATTTTCGGGGAAACTTCAATGGATTTAAAAATCGCAGAAGGTTTGTTTTATGTTACCATGCATTTAAAATACCAGTGAAAAATAATTAGAAAAATACCGTCGATAAATTAAAACCTACCAGAGGACAAGTCTGATCTTATCTACTCAGTCGGATCCTCTGAGGCCAGATTTGGACTCCAGCAGTTCTACATGGGTCTATATCTGGTCCACCAAGCTGGCTGCATGAGCGGTTTCGTGTTTTCCTCTATCGGTAACGTAGATAAGAGCCAATTTCCATGTAAAGGTCATATACGAGGGCATATCTCTCCTTGGCAGATAGCCTCGTCGACTTGGCCATAATGCAGAAAATGGTAAAATTACCATATTCGTAGATTAGTCAAGCAAGCCTTTATTAGCGAATACTTAGATTATCAAGAGAGAAGCTGTTTGTTATATTTCAATGTGCTTAACTTTTTAAGACTTCACTTTTCTCATCTAATTATGTAACTTTATAATCCTCATTAAGTTGAATGTTAACACTTGATTTTGTGGTTTTTATGTAATTTGGTTTTATTCCTTAATATATAATATGAAATAATATATAATATGATTCTTTAATATATAATAATGGCTATAAATAAGGAAAAAGAACAGGACATATATCTATCCTCTTTGAAATCGTATATAGTCTGTATGGATTGTTTTGAAAATTATTTTGCTCTCATTTATAAATATTATAAAAATCTTTGTCCGGAATTAAAGTAATTTATTTACAACGATGGGAAATCAATGATTTTGTTCAATTATGTTGAGAAAATAAACCACAGTATCCAAAAGTTTTAATTATGCGTTTCATTTTTTAAGTTCTACTTACATTGTTTTAATAAACATAGGTATAATTGAAAATTAGTCTTAAATATTTTTGTAATTGAAAGGGAATTTCAAATTTGTTTCTGTTAATAGTATTATTATTGTTTAGTAAAGTTAAAATTTTAATATTAAGTGAAATATTTCCTTCTCGTTATTACTATATGGTGGATCAAGAGAATCGAGATTCAAAAGCCTCGAAAAGTTTTTAGAATTTGGATTTTTGAAATTTAGACTTCGACGCATTCTAAATAATTATACAACATATTATTTAACTAAATATATGAATACATTTGTTGTCTATCGACGAACATATTTGTTAGGTTTTAGATCTTGATTTTGTTGTGTATTGTTTTGGTATGTAGGCTTTCAATATTTCTAAATGTCGCTGCCAAAAGTCGTTATTTCTGGGATTTTTAAAACTTTAAATAACTTAAAAATTTCTTCCATCTTTAACAAATCACTTCGGAGAACAAAACGAACAAAACCCAATGAGAATTTTTAAAGGGGATAAAAGGGCAAATATGAAAACAGTTATGAAGTTAGATGCTTTTCCCCTTGAGTGCTCTCCTGATTTGTAACTGATAGC